TAGGACACTCATCACGTTGTGCAACTGTCACCACTATCTCATGCAGAATATGTTCGTCACTCCCCATTCTTCCCCTCCCCCAGCTCCAGGCAACCACTAATCAGTTGTCTGGCTTTATGGCTTTGACTACTGTGGATATTTCAGATAAATGGGATCATACAGTATATGACCTTTTGTGTCTGGCTTCTTTCACGTGATGTTTGGAGGTTCATCCATGATGCAACATATCAGTGCTCCCTTCTTTAAGGCTGAGTAATATTTCGTTCTCTGCATAGACCACATTGTGTTTATCTGTTCCCCTGTCGATGGCCATTTGGGTGGTCTCCACTTTGGGGATATTACGAATAGTGCTGCTATGAACATTCGTGTGTAAGTTTTTGTGTGAACATACATTTTCAGTTCTTAGGAGTGGAACTGCCGGGTCATGTGATAACTCTGTTTAACTTTTGAGGAACCACCAAAAATGGCTGTCCACAGTGTGGGCCAAGCCACTTCTAAGATGCCTATGAAACACTGAGTGGGGCCAGCCCACAGTGCAAGGGAGGGCCCGGAGCTGGAGCTCAAAGGAGAGTTGAGGCCCCAGGTGGGAGGGGAGCCAGCTGGCTGAGGGGTGGGGAGCCTCAGCTCCCAGGACCCTCTCTCCACCGACTTCTGGGGGTAACGGTGTGGTCCCCAGATACACACGCACTCAATGGAAAGGCGCATAAGAGTACTACCTAAGGATGCTTATCGGACTAGTCCTATCCACCGTCCCAACCCCTTATGCAGCTTTCATTTAGCCATGACTTCCTTCAAGATTTAATATTTCTTCACAACAGTGTTCCACATGCCTCACACTGGCTTCTGTCTGCGCACTAGCCCTCTCCCGTCGCTGGAACGTAAGCCCCATAGAGGCGGGGACCCCGTGGCTCAGTCACAGCTGCATCCTCAGGGCTCAGTCCACGCGGCCCGCAGCATCTGTGCTGGGCAGACCCGCCCCTCCGGCCCCTCCCTCTGCACCTGCGCCAAGGGCCGGGCCGGGCCGGCCCTGCGCCGCCCTCCGCCAACAGCGGCTGCGGCAAACACCTGCGCGCCCGTGTGCAGTCTGCCGCTCGGCAACAGGCCCGGCTGCTCCGGGCTCCTTACACAGGTTAACCCTGCTCATCCTCGTAACCACCCCCGATAACCATCCTTACCCCCATTTTACACATGGGGAAACTGAGGCACGGGAAACTTAGGTAAGAGCCTGTGCAGTGTCAGGCAGCTGGCACATGGTGGAGCTGTGCCAACCTGCCTCTCCTGCTGGGGGCTGAGACCCTTCAGACCCGCAACTGTGAGAGTGTGTGTGTGTGCGCGTCTGTGTGCGCATGTGTGCGTGTGTGTCTGTCTTGCATGTGCGTGCATGTGTGTCTGTGTGTGCGTGTCTCTGTGCATGTGTCTGTGTGCGTGTCTGTGCATGTGTCTCTGTGTGTGTGCATGTGCGTGTGTCTGTGTGTGTGTGTCTGTGTGTGTGCATGTGTGTGTGCCCGTCTGTGTGCGTGTGTGCGTGTGTCTGTGTTGCATGTGTGTGCATGTGTCTCTGTGTGCGTGTCTGTGTGCGCGTCTGTGTGTCTGTGTGCGTGCGTGTCTCTGTGTGTGTGCGTCTGTGTGCGTGTCTGTGTGTCTGTGCGTCTGTGTGTGTGCATGTGTGTCCGTGTGTGCGTGTCTGTGTGCATGTCTGTGTGTGCATCTGTGTGTGTGCATGTGTGTGCATGTGTGTCTGTGTGCGTGTCTGTGTGCATGTGTGCGTGTGTCTGTGTTGCATGTGTGTGCATGTGTCTCTGTGTGCGTGTCTGTGTGCGCGTGTCTGTGCGTGTGTGCGTCTCTGTGTGTGTGCATGTGTGTGCATGTGTGTCTGTGTGTGCGTGTCTGTGTGCGTGTCTGTGTGTGCATCTCTGTGTGTGTGCGTGTGTGTGCATGTGTGTCTATGTGTGCGTGTGTCTGTGTGTGCGCG